ATTCCTGCTTGGATTCAAAGGGTTTACAGTAAAAAGAGGAATATAAAATGCTATAAAATGCCCCCAAATCAGATTTCACTGACTTTGCTCTTGAATTGTAAATTGTTGCAAATAGGCACTTCTGAAACAAGTGTAGCTAGAAACGTTTTTCTTCCTTCTTCCTTCCAATGGGATTGTCCCTAATTCCTCCATGAAACCTCAGCCCAGGTACTGTCCCGTGCCCGTGAGTGCTCTGTACTCGATGTGGCTCTAAGTCTTGTTAGCTGGAATAAAAGCAACGGGTGGTTGGGGCTGTGTCCATCACCTGCAGCCCCCCGCTGCCCTTCTGATGGGGAGAACGTGCCCGATCGGCAGCAGCAGCCAGGAAAAGGGAAGATGTGAGAGCAGCCCGCAGCTCTTTTTAGCTTGGAGTGAAAGTCAGAGAGAACCCGGATTCGTGTGCAGCTGCGTGAGCCACAGGAACCTCGGTGTCTCTCAACACGCCGTTCTACAGCAGAGAAACAGTATTGCATTGCCAAGTAAATCTCCTCATACTTGGGTGCTTCTGTGTTTTCACCCCCAAATTTCTCACAGTGCCTGCCCGCTTGGAGCAACAGAGGGGACAAAAAAAAAACCTGCCCCAAGCTTCGGGTGTTGCGTGCTCGCACCAAGGCACGGTTCACTGCCTTCGGTCGCTGTTGATCGATAGGGACCGGGTTACAGGCAGGTGGGGACTGTTTGATGTTACCAATGCAAATAAGCAGCATCGCTGCTTTGTCTTCAGAGAAATGAACCCCCAGAGCCCGAGCCCGCTGCCTGCAGCACTAGAAACACGGGCACGCACCGGTGCCTGCCCTCCCGCGCGTTGTTCTGTCAACAGCCGGAGGAGAGCTCTGTGGGGTAGGAAGAACGCGATGTTCTTGATGCTCTTACCAAGTTGATTTATTTTTTTTTCCCCCTCAGAAAAGGGTGGGAAGAAAAAGCCTTTGCTGTGGGGGCTGAGCTCACATGTAATAGCCTAACAATATTTCAGAAGAGAAGTGGCACTTCTGCTGCCGCGAGAAACTGCGTGGCCTTGCTGCAGCCACGCGAAGTGAAGCCAAAACCTCAAGGACCTGATGTGCCACATGGCATCACGCCGGGCAGGAGCGCTCGGCCCCGGGGACACGAGCCTTGTGCCCCAGGCTGGGCTGCGCGTGCTGTTAGAGCAAGGCTCCCGACTACGTAACGCAGCCCTGCTTTTTCCCCCCCCCCCCCCCCCCGGGCTCTGCCCAGAGAGCGAATTCAAATTCAGGGTTTGAATGACAGTTTGACTGATTAATTCAGCTCAGAGGCCAGGCTGGCTCTTCCCAGCAGTGTCGGTATCTGAATCCCCGGGGTGGCTCATTTAAAACCCTCCTCATTAAGAAAAGCACTTGGGAAGGGTGGTTTGAAGACGACAGAAGCAGAGCTTGAGAGGAACACGCTTAACTCCTTGAGTACAGGCTCTGTGTACTGCTAACCTCCTGCTAGTGGCTGTTTTACATCACAAACCGAATCCACTGTGAATTGTTTCACAGGAATAATTTTATCAGTAAAGACCCGCTCTGAACAACAAGTGTCCAAGCTGAAGCAAGCCAACCTGAAACTCGCAACAAAGGTTGAACAACTGGAACACAGCTGTGTAGAGAAGGTGAGAAAACGCTTTTAATTTAAACAAGGTTTAAACAAGCTCCCCAGGACAAGCTGGCCTGGGATCCTTTTGCAAGGTTGCCGCTGGCAGCTGGGTTTCCTCATCAGAAAGCTGTGGGGTAAGCTGGGCTCTGCCTGTCCTGCCCGTGCTTCCCGAAGCTGCCTCTCTTGCAGAGGAACGACGGCTGCCTCTGCCCTGCTTCCTTTAGCCAGGCTGTCCTGTTTTACTGCAGCAAGAGATATGTTACAGCAGTGGGAAGGAAGATCTGTGGGAACCTGGGAAACTTATTTTAAGGGAAGAGCTGCTTTAATGGTTTGACTTTTGTCTCCTACAGGAGCAAGAAATTGAGAGGCTGAACAAGATCCTAAAACAGCATGGACTCATCAGCGAGCAAAAATAGGCGGCCAGTTTTCCGAGGCGGGGAGGTCTGCTCTGGAGCGTCCAAGTGTCGAAATCTACCAGTTTGACCTGAAAAGTTTTCCTGTCTCTTTGCTTTCTCTTGTATAGTGTTGTCTATAAACGTTTGCTATTTGACCACACTTTGATTAGCTCTTGGGACTGCAAAAAGAGTTTTGCTGGAAAATTAATCAGGCGTACTCCCTGTAAGCAGCGATTTCGTAAGATCTTTCTTGTACAGTTACAGAGTCAAAACTGCAAAATAATTTAATAAAGACACACCTTTACAAGCTATACATCCATGAAATAATTTATCCATGAAATATCCATGAAATATTTTACATAAGTGAATTTTTCTGTGACAGTGTTCATTGTTTGCAACATCTTGTAGAAACTCACAGTACAAATGGTAAGAACCCAAGCTGAAAAGGTCATTTCTTATCTACAAGCTGACCGTTCATCATTAGTATCTCTTCTTTGCCAACCATTCTGCCCATGTTGTTAGTAGTTTCCTCATTTCTGTTGCTGCTTGTGCCACTTTTTGTTATTTATATAACGTTCATTTCAAAAATACCAACATACCGCTCCTTCGGTTGGCAACCACATCAGCACCAAAACAGAGGCAAGCACGTGCCATCCTGCGTCAAACAGTGCCTTGTTCTCAGCAGCAGATCTGAGTGCTGATACTGTGTTCTTTCATCTCTTCTTCCATTTTAAGTGTTCGTTCGCGGCCCGCTGGGCTACAAAGTTCTTTCTGCTTCCACAGCTCCTAAATCAACCCATAAAAAGAATTAAAATATGTTAAGAACAGATGTAGGTGAGTGGACGGCTGGGAACAGTTAGACTCCAGAAACGCCATTAGGAAGCGTATTCTAAAGGACAGGCTGGTATTTGAACACAACGTGGAGTATTTCAGGTACCAGAAGGTCCCTGTGGTGCGACTATTTCACAGTTGAAGAGCAAGATTCAGGAAGTGGGAACTTTGAAAGGTGCTGACAGTAGCAGGCGTCTCCGATTGATTTCAGCCAGCGTCAGCTGGAAGGGTCATTGAGCCTTTCCGAAAGCGTAACTTCACTGTTCGGATTTTTAAAGAAAGGTAATTAATTAGTGGTTTGGGGAAAATAGCTGGAAATATGTGGCTTATTCATGTATGAAAACAGATAAAATGGAGGCCTTATCTCATAGCACATGATTACTTTAATTAACAATTTAGCTCTGCGGTTCACAGAATAACGAAGCCTGCTTTCCTCTGGAGCCGTACCGTGTCACTGTGCTCTCCCCTTCCCTGCCTGCCTCCACACTGCTAGGCAGGCAGCTCGCACAGCGCTGCTCGAGCAGCCGACGTGCTGCAAGGCTGCTGGCTCTGCCTGTGCTCACTGGCCAGCTAGAGCCGCCATCAAGTTCATGTGGCAACCTTTTTTCTGCTCAGCAGAGATATAATTAGGAACTTTCCACTTAATGTAGGGGTTTTTCTGCCCTAAAGCCTCTGGGAACCCTCACAACAGCTCACCCTTTCTCTCTTGGCCAATTTTCACCCAGTGTGTCTAAATTTAGAAGAAACTGATGACCCATCACAGTGGCTGGAAAAACCTTACTTCTTAGGAAATGGACTAAAAATCATAAAAAGCAGAAATACAGCTTTTGGGGGTTTTTTTCATGCATACTTACCTTAGACAAACGGAAAGAAAAAATCAAAGGGTAACTTGGCATTAATCGTGGGCCAAGCTCTATAGCCTGGCTCTGCAGGTGGTGAAAGATCAGTGAAAACAACAGAACTCCTTACGGGAATAGTCCTTTCCCTTCCTGAGGGAAGCTGCAATGAAAATACAAATGGTCATTAGCATCAGTCTTCTCTTTGTACGACCGCTTTGTTTGGACTGGGTTACATTTTCGGTTGTTACTTGTAAATTGGCTTTTTTTCCATACACAGTTCCATGTTTCTTTCATGAACGATGTATAGATTTTTACTGAAGCACGTTTTGGCAAGCAGCCCACAGTTGTGTTTGAGTTGGAACAGAAACTGTCGGGTGTGATACATTCTAATACGAAGTGCTACCTCTAGATAAAGAGATCAGCTGGGTCACTGTCGCACAGCTGATACCGAAGCAAAACAAGCCATTCTTTTTACCTTCATTCCTGTAATTTAATTACGTACCTGCTTCAGTGTGGTGGTAGCGATCGTTGCTGTAACGTTGACTATTCTGGCTTGTGGATTGACTAGGGATCCATATTTAGTCCACTTCACTTCTATTTCAAGTGATACTGGTATTTGGCACAAGCTCTGAAAAGTGTTATAAATTCTCTCATTGTCTGCCTTGTACAGAAGCACCCATGTTAATTATTCATCTCGTGGAACTGGCAGAATGCCCACAGAAAGCTCGTTCCGGGAGGCTGCCAGAGCAGCTGCGCCGTGCCCGTGCCCTGCCCTGCTGCCCATGCAGGCAGCACAGGTGCCTGCAGCCGTGGCACAGCGGTGTCCCCATCCACAGGTGACAAAACGGCTCTGTCACTGCACTTCAGGCAGGACCGTTCTACCTGAGCAAGGCAGAACTTTGGCTCTTGATGACAGGGCTGAGCTGGCTCTTTTTAGGAGGAAGACTTATTTCAGTAATACTGCTGGGACAGTAAAACAATCCTTAACTCTGCCAGGGCAGAATTTTGAAGCCTCCAATCTTAAATATTTTTAGGTAACTTTGCAAGAAACCGATATACAAGCTGTCATTGAGGGGGTGCTGTCACTCAGCACGTGCCAAGCAGCACTGCCTACCACCAACAGCAGGGACTGCGCTGCAGCGGGAGGAAAAGGGAGATGTTAAGAATAAATGTAGTGTCTGGGTCACTCAAGTATACTGCTTCTGTGCTTTAAAGGATTCTTGCTATCTTACTCTAACCTGGCATAAGAGCACCAAGGAGAAACGCTGAGTCTGTTACTTCATGCTTTCAACCCTACCTCTTGTGCTCCGTCCCATCTGAAGAGCAAGACTCTAAACTGGGGCTGGAGCTCATCTTGTACCTAACGTGTTGTCCTGATCCATAACTGAGGTGTCTGACACCAACTTGATTAAAAGCAAACCCTGACTTCTATGAAACTCCTCATTTGTGAATATTCCAGGAGGACTTTCCCCCAGTTTGTTTCTGCATTTTTTTCCCCATAGAAGTGAGAAACCTCAGCTGATGCTGCAGTACGGGTACAGCTCTCGGGAGAGAGGACAGTAGGAGCGAAGGGGGTGGTGGCAGTGGTGTAACTCTCACCTGTTCTGAGACCTGGAGGTGAGTTATCGGCACCCAGTCGAGCACATCCTGGGCTTGAGAATTTCCAAATGAGGCCACATATTCAGGAAAGCTTTGTCCCTTCAGTAAATCTAGGAGGGTCTGAGTCAAAGGCTGGCATTCCATAGCAGCAGTAATTCTTCCAGAACAAAAAGATGAGTTAAAGCAAAATCCATTGGCTTGGCAGAGTAATAATTTCTCCTTGCTGTCATGCACTGTTCAAGCCTTCTGGCTACAGCTGCTAATGTACGCAATCTTTTCAAGAGACAGACTATTGTTAATTAAATGACTTTTTTTAATAATTAAATACTCCTACAGCAGTATAAATATCCCAGGACCTGAACAGATCCTAATGGAAAGGGTTGTCAGAGGGTTAAAAGCAGTAAATAAAAAAAATTTAAAAAACCCAAACAAACCAAGAAATGTCCTCTTACCGTAACTTACAGCCTGATATCATGTTATAGCCAAATAATATTGGGGTTCTGGCTCCCTGTGCTGCCAGACAGTCCTGGCTGGATGTACTCTGCAGAATGGTAAGTTGACTGTATTTGTTAGTACTCTGAATGATGCCAGATGTAACACACAGTTAAAGGGAAATTCAATACTTGATGTCGATCAAGAAGAAAGAATCCTTAATTGTATCCTTAAAATATACCTGACAATGCTGTAATAGCTCAAGACTCCTCTTACACTGTGAAGAAGCACTAGAGCGTACAACGGAGGTCTAAATCTACCTCACTAAAAAGTCCTGGGAGATTGCAGTCAGGACTGAGTCATTCGCTACTTCTGAAACATAGCCAAAAAAGCACACTTTTACTTTTGTTAAAGAACAGATACATTTGATAGATGTCCATGCTAGAAAGTGTTTGTGAAGACGGACGAGAACAAGTGCTGCAAACAAAAATTCAACAGGGAAAGGATATCCTTGTGGCCGGAAGCCCGCTCTTACAGGCAGTCCAACAACATAACCGGGATTACCGCTGAGAGGAACTGGCTTTGTGTTTACCTGCAGAGCAAACATACAGTATTAGTTCTTACCTGGCACTGAAATGGCTGGAAAACACAGAAATACGTCACTTCCTTTAGGATTATTAATTGCCTTGAACAATGACAGTAGGAAGACTGCTCTATAAGATCGTAACAGTCCTCCATAGAGACTCCCAAGATGACTCTTGTAAATGTGAAGAACAGACTTTGGAGACCTTTATTGCCCAGTTCTGAAATGCTGCCTCATTTGTGGATCCAGGACAAGTTACATTTTACCTTGCTGCTAACAATTGTTCTGATTCAAGTTTAATAAGTTTTGTAATTAAATGTCTTTCAACAAGTCATCCGTAACATCTCCAGCAGTTACCTGAGTAAAGCTGATTTCAAAGCTCTGCTGTACTGAAAGTGCTTCTTGGTTAATTGCCCCCAAGACAAAAGAAGCAGCTGCTTCTATTATTTCTCCTGCGTCCGTGTATGTAATGTGATAACTCACCTGAAAATTAAACATTTTAGATATTAACTAGAACAAATACATAAGAGTATGAAACTAGAAAAAATGAATTTAAAACTATGTAAGCATTGTTTTCCTTCTTCCTTGTTAAGAAACAGTGGACTACATGGTAGAGACATACTGGATCCTCAGCTGTAGTAAGGATGGGCCCAGAAAACAGGAGGAACTGAAGCACTGCTCAGCAGGTAGCTAGACACTCTGCAGTGACGGTGCATTAAAACCACAAAGACCTGCCT